CACCGCGGTGCCGGCGCCCGGGAGGGTGTGTGGGCTGGGAGAGGGGGAAGAGGGACTCGGGGGCACCTGCAGAGATGAGCCAGCACCAAAGCAGGAGGAATTCCTTAAAGGGTTGGGCCTGTATCATGGTTTTTTCCCCATACAAATAAAAACAAGAAGAGAAATACCCAGCTTTCTACTGCTCTGTGTAGTCAAAACATGAGCAGAGATCGTCACTGGAAAGCCTGTCATCCCATGTTCTGTTTACACATAAAGGATGTTTTCCAAGTGTGCCATTGAGCTGAAAAGCCAGGCTGGTGAAAGAGCATCTTTTATGTTGTTTTGGAAGAGACTAAACTCTGAAGAGCTGCTCTTATTCCAGCGTAAGACTCTGCCACATAAAAACAGTCGTACTGAACTGCCTTCTATGTCACTGGTAAAACTTTATGGTTACAGACAGAGAGGATGGATTGTGTAGCAGATCTGTCCTTCCTCGCTCCCTTCCTGACAAACCCTTGTAGTCATGAATATCATACCAAGAAAAAAAAGATGTGGTTTTAATGAATCCTGGAAAGTACCCTCAGCAAACCAATGCTGGGATATGCAGGTCAAACTGGTGGCCTGAAGGGATTTCCTTTAAGCCACTAACTTCTCAGACATTTTTTTTTTTTTTTTATTAACAGAGTTGTGATTGCATCACAAGTACTAGTCACGGGGATTTATTTTTTTTAACTTGGCCTGCTCTAATAGGTTTTCTGAAACTTTCCCGTTTTACTTCATCTTCAGTTGCAAACAATCATCATTTTGTTACATTTTTCCCATAGAAACTGCAAGTTCTACGTGAGTGCCATATAAAGAGTAAGCAGTGAGATGTACTATTATATGTGTACAGTAGCACTTAGGAGAACTTTACAAGAGTTTTTTTTCTTTCACTCACAAAAAAAAAAAAAGAATTAAAAAGAGGTACATGTGAGGTAAAACAGGTTTCTTAAAAAACAGTCTGTGAATAGGAGATACCTTAAAAAATCTGACCAATGTCACAATTCACACATGCAAAAGGATGCCCCAACTCAGCAGCCAACTAAACCTGGAAAGACCACAAATCCACAAGTGTCTAAATCTTCAGCAATGGAGTCAAAAGTGTGGAAGTGTCTGCTTTCAGGAATGCTCACAGGCGTTGCAACTTGGACCACCCTGGTTTGCTTACTGCCCATCCTAGTGTCTGCCCTCTCCTCAAAATAGATTCTCTTGCACATCTTCAGCAATAGACTGCTACCTTCTCTTCTAGAAAAGCTGGCATGAAATGCAGATACAGTTGTCTTACCTCAAAGCATTGTAGAAGCACATGAATTAAAAAAAGACTAGTTAAGCCCACTGCAATTCTGAATGAGTGGTGGCACAGTGGTTTAATGTGGTTTATTTTAACTCCATCATTAACTTGGATAAATTTTTTTAGCAGCTGTCAAGCTTTTAGAAGCAAAAAAATTCCTTGCTTCTAATAATGTGTTGGCCTGGCACACCTCACTGACTAATGTGAATGATTACACTTGGCAGAATTGTCTGGCCGCTTCTGCAAAGGATCTGTTCATACAAATGCAGATAGTAACTGTTTGTTCATCTTCCTCTGTTTGCTTCCCCGTCCATGGTCCATATTGAAACAGTCTAGATTCACCATGTTGTAAAACCTAGTTTCATGTTTCCAAATTGTATTCATGTGTATTCAAAATTGTGTATGAATTCACAAGTATTTTCGCGACATGGCGGTTTCTTGGCATCATACGGCAAGTAACAGATTTCAAATTTGTAGGAACTTGAATTTTACTGCATGTAGAATGAAATGGCATGTTCAAATTGAATTTAGAGTATTTGATATCCTCCAAATATTGAAACTATTGGTGATAAGTTTTTGTTTGCTTGTTTTTAAGTAGATAGAATAAATAAACAGTGCTCTAACAACACAAACGAGGCAGCCCACAGGCCACTTTTGAGAAATAAGTGTTAGAAGACCAAATCACTGCAATGAGCAGTAGTAGTGCAAGGAAAAAAAATCATACAGGAGAAAACTTCTATTTAAGTAGCTGTACAAACAAGTTTAAGTTATTACTCCATTTCACAAAGTTAGTCATCAGGTGTGATGATTATTTTTAAGTCATTTCGTGAGTAAAAATATTCTAACTTGGTCCCAGAGCCCATATAGCTTTAGGAAAATAGTGCTCTGCCCTGAACTCATGTCACTGTCCTTTTCCCTTTTTTTATATTAACTTTTTAGCTCTCGGGAATCAGCATGGTTGCTGCTTCTTTTCATTCTCTGTCTGCATAGGAAGTGTCTCTTCTTAAGTATAGGCTTGTAAAGATGCTAGAAAATTGATGCTGTGTATGAGAAATGAACACAGGCTGAGTTGTTCCCTTTTTCTTTTTTTAATTGCCTGCAACCATACTATCTCAAGATGTGGTTGCAGAAGTCTTGCAAGCTAGTTAGTGTCATGCTAGGTTGGTACTTGGATGGACAGATTCCCACCACCCCAGAGGAAATTCCCCCAGGAAATGTAACTGTTGATCCAGCCCAGATGTAGGGGTTTTTCTCTCTGAGTCAGTGCTAAGCTGAACAAGTGATCTAATGTTTTACTGGGGGAAAAGAAAGACTGCCTTCTGAGGAGGTGTAAAAAGCATCTAATAATCTATTACATAACTGATATAGCTTAAAATATTTTTGTTGGAAGAATATTTTTTTGTGGAATATTTTCCCCATTTTTCTAGATGAGCAAGATCTCCAAGACAGAGGGGAAGTCCAATTTCAGAGTGGCCACGTATGGCCCATTACGTTTTCTGTACGTAGGTGATGGAGATATGGACAGAAATTCCACCTCTATGAGGATTACTACATAATTGTATAAAGTTACAAGTTCGGTTCTGTAACTGTAGGGTTGATCTTCGAAAAAAAAGTTAAAAAGTTCTGAAATTGTCTTGTCTTTTAGTCCTGTATTATTCCTTTTATGTCTGATCCTTCTCTTTTTTGATATAACTGGAATTCTTTCTGGAGATGAAATTACCACTCAAAGATCTGTCAAAGTTTGCTGTGCAGTGTTTTCCTTAAAGGTGAATACTTCAAAAACTTAGAAAATTGCTTTTTAAACAAAAGGGCTTTTTACCATCTTTTTAACGTTTTTTATTAGAAAGACTATTGCAAAACACAGTAAAGATCAGCCCACTGTAAGATCTGTATGACTCAGCCTTTTATTTTCCCAGCCTCATTATTACGTAGCATGTTTCCATTATTTTAAAATGAGGACTGTCCCTAAACACAAGACATTATGAACCCAGAGGTCATATTGATCAACAAGCTTGTCCGATCTGGTCCTATTGGTTCAGACAATATTCACCTTTTGCAGTTTTTCTGGGGCTTTTGTTTTGTCTTTTTTTTTTTTAGATTTTCTTAAAACAATCTCTTTTGGGGAACATATATATATGGTGGAAGACATTTAAGAAGCTGAGTAAAGTACCTGGGAACAAAAAGAGAAGGAATGAATCCTCAAAACTTGCACTCAAAATCTGAGTGGTTTATTTCCTCCTGCATTCATAGAGCAGAGTGACAGAAAGGAACATAACTAAGTTCTAAATACAAATGCAAAATACGTGTAATTTTTACTAGTGTGTTTTGGTTTTTTTTCCCTCTCTGTATTAAGATGACTGGCATGTCAGAAACCGCACCTGTCTTTGGGCAGACTAGCTGGTACCATTTTGGGAAATGCAGTGAGGTGAAGTTGGACAAGAAAAAAAAAAAAATTATTCTTGAGCTCTCCTTTGTTTTGATCAGACTTCCAGGACATTAACTTGACTACTTGAGCAGTCACTAGTGTTTGATAAATACTCTGTTGAACAAACAGCCACATAAACTTTGTCACTAGTATCGATTTAATGCTGTAGCAGAAGCAGAAATCCTTCCTACAACAAGTTGCTGTGTTTAGCAAAGATACTTGATTATTTGTTTTCAGATGTTTCCATTTTCAGTGCTGTTTCCTTCCTGTTGAATCACCAGGTGGATCTTAGACGTGATTCAGGAAACTTGGCATCTAAGGACATTCACCTCAGCGCCACTTTTATTTATTTTTATTAAGTATGATGAATAAATCCTTTCTGTACTTCAAAGGGTGAAATGACGAGCGAAGCAAGGCAGCAGCAAAGTCTGTACCAGCACAGTTGTCAATAAGTCTGTGTACCCAACACCATTCAGTCCTGGAGTGAAGGTTTGGTCTTACAGGCGCAAAAAAGTGCCGGCTTCTGATGTAGCACCTTAGCTTTATCCTCGCAAACTGCAGTGCTCTGGTGACACAAACAGACACCGAGCGGTACTGTCTGTGGGGGCAGTGTCTTTTGACTGTGAAAATAAGCTTTTCCACAGGGGATTCTTCCCGTCACAGATGGAGCAAGATGGGGAGGCTTTTCACTGCTCTCATTTTTATAACTGCGCGTAGACTAGCACGGCAGGAGGTTCTGCTCACAGGTTGATGCTTTGTGGGTGACCAGAGACCTGAGAGCAGGCTGTTACTGACAGGGAAAGGGAGATACAGCAGTTCCAGCTACACCTGGCTCTTGTGTACACGCTGCTTTTACTCAGACTCATTTGGTGGCACCAGCTGAAGGGATCAGCTTGTCTGTACCAGGTAATTTGAATATCGAAAGTGTGTAATCAGGTGTTTTGATTGAGCCCGAAGCAGGTCACATGGAATGCGTACTGCCCTCTTGCCAAGTGACACCTGCAAGAAAAGCCTTACTTTACACCCATCCTAGAAAGTCTCCGGAAGTTTCTCCTTTCCTCTCTGCAGCCCTGCAGATGATGACAGCACCATAAGTGTCGTTTAGTGCTGCGGGCTGCACGTGTTGCTACACACTTGGAATCTCCCTGAACCCATAAAGCCACATAACGAAGTTCACATACAATTTCTGTTGTACATGCCTGTCATTATCCTGAGGTTAAGGCAACAGCTCTTCTGTCATTGCCTGTCTATATATTGCTGCGTAACACGTAGTCTGATCTTAAAAATTGCCACCGTGGTACGTTTGCATTTTTTTCAATACTTTTGGCAGTTGCCTTCAACTTGCTTCCAGAAGGCAAGGCTAATTTGCCTTTTTTTTTTTTTTTTTTTTGGTTTGATGGTTTTCCAGCCTGAGTCAGGAGGTTCCATTTCTCAATCAGAAGATGGGAAATGGTTTTTTCTGGGGTTTTCATGATTACAGGTCCTTTTTCCTGGCAGAAGGCAAGATCACAGTCTGAGAAAAAGCTGTGTGCAGTAGAACCAACATTTCAGTTCTGTACATGCCTAGTTCCAATTCTGCAACACCCTACTTTGAAAAGTCTTCTGCATTTATTGGAGTTCAGAAGTGACTCAAAACCGTTGCTTCCACCACAGGTCAAACCCTGTAGCCTGCTATTTCCACCTGCAACTTGGCCTTACAGAAAACTAGCAAACAGCAAGGTCCTAAAAGTATAGCAGGACATTTTCCCAGGAAAAAGAAAAGATCATATTTGGTTGTTTGTGTAGAAACTGTCTTACATCATGTAGTCACAGACGTAACTGAAAGGAAGATGTAGCCCAGACTACTTACTCTTTTGTATAGTTAAAAAAAAAAAAAGGAAAAAAAAAGCCATGTCAAACATGATCACATTCCTGCATCGAGTGAAAACTCGATCGAAAGAAACTGTTTGGCATGTTTTCACTGCGGTCCCTTTCCATCAGGATTAAGAAATGAGTCACAGCTACCCATGTAGTTTTTGCCAGTGTTACCTGCTGGAGTCTCATAGACCCAATAGATATTTCAGAGTCAGTATTTTTGGCAGGAAGGAGTTAATTAGCTACTAGACATAGGAAAATACTTACTCTGTTATGAATTTGTGACAAAATAGATTATATTACTTCTACAGTCTACTGAGAAGGGTTTATTTTAAATTCATGCCCAGAATTTGAATTGAAATTGAGCTACAGACGTAGCAACCCATCCCCTCTTACACTGCTAGCGTTAGGCAGCCAAGAGCTACATGTGTGTGTTTGGCTTTGCACTGTACAATAAACAGTGAAAAATGTTACTCTGGATTTTTCTACTGAGTACTGCCAGCATATATTCCATACGGAAGGGAATGGAACTGCGGTATTTTTATGAAGTATCCAAATGCTATAGTGGTTTAATGGGTCAGAGGGGTGGGAAGAGGAGAAAAGGAGAGAAAACGTGACAAATGTGGGACAGAGTCCTCAGCCAAATTGCATTTTTAGATGGTGGGATATAGACAAACCAAATGAGTATCGAGTTCTTCCTGACTGAAGTCAGTAGCTGTCTCAAAGACATTTTCTTCCCGGGAGCTTGGTCCAGTAAAGAAGCTGTCTGTGTAAAGCTGCGGTTACATGTTTTCCTTCTCTTTGCAGGGAAAAAAGTCTGCTGCTACCCCATGACATTCTTCTCACAGTAAAATATTTAGGCTGTGGTTGATTACAAGGTGTCTGGTGAAAATAGGTCAAGTATGGTATTTGCCCTGGAAAAACTGCCAGCGTGTTTGCCGTATGCATCAAGGTTTGTCCTATTTCAAAGGACACTTTTGTGTCTGGACAGTGGCAAACTTGGCTGTGGAGTTGGAAACTGGACAGTTGTTAGTGCTGCTGAAGAGAAGTAATTGGAAGGTGTTTTCTGCATTTGAACTAACCTTCAAAGTGAGATTTTCCTTGCGGTATTTTCTGGCAAGTGGGAACACATTTGTGCAGTAAAGAAGTCTCTAAGAAGCAAGTTTAAAGAAGTCAGCTAGAATAAGCTTACTCTTAATATATTTGTGTATTATTTTTGAAAATAAAGTCTAGAAGCAAGAGCAGAAAAAATGAAGTTCCTAACCCATTCAGAGACTGCAGGAGGGAGGGTTAGCTACTCTTTCTTCATCGCAGAGTTAGGCATCTAAGTCTAACCTAGTTACCCTAAGCTGCACCTAATCTGTAGAGAAATAGGCAAGTCTGGGAGACGAGCTGTCAAAATTCAAGTTGGGTCACATGAATCATCATCAGGAAACACTCATTTTATTCACCCCCCCCAGGTTAAGTAACTCTGATTATGCCCCACAGTTGTTTTTTCTTTTCCTGTTTGTTTGCAGAGGAATTTAAAAGAAAAAAAAAGTCTGCTGATGCAAAAATGGAAGAAAAGTTTCCCTTGTAATTGGGGAATGCTTGGTAACCACAGATCATATGATATTTAAGCAGAGAAACAGTTCGCTGTGCGTGGATGGTCCTGGACAGTGGCATGGTGGAGTAAGAAGCAGCAGGGAAATTAGCAAAGCTCAGACAGTGGCGAACTTCCACATAAATCCTCAAAATAAGACTCATGAATAATTAAGGAACTGTGTAGATGTGTGATGACAGAGGGTAAATTTAATAAATATCTGTGTTTTTAAGTATGCCTTTAGGAGTAGTTACAACAATCTGTTGTTTGCTTGATTGCTTTACAGTGGTTTTTCCTTCCCAACTTTTTTCAGAGCAAACTTTTCAGCTTCTTCAATCTTTCCTTTTCCCAGGGTAGAAACATCCTGACTGTTTAGACTGATCCTACAAGCTGGAAAAAGTGTGTCTGCCAAAGTGCAGTACGGACACTATGTACTGCTCTCTTGTCGGGTGGAGGACAGTGGTAACAGTGAAGAAGATGCACTGATAGCCTCAGTACCGCTATCGCTCCATCAGTATGATTACAGAAATCAGTCAATGCACCAAGTCATCTCTCACTCAACTGCACCAAGGAAAAGAGATATGAATAATCTTTTTCCTCTCTCCCCTTTTAGCGCAGAACGTCACAGTGGTTTCAAAGAAATGGACCTATGAATATCAACCACTACGCGAATAAGAAGAGCGCTGCGGAGAGCATGTTGGACATTGCCCTGCTGATGGCCAATGCATCCCAGCTGAAAGCTGTGATGGAGCAAGGACCTTCTTTTTCCTTCTACGTCCCACTTATTGTTCTCATCAGCGTGTCACTCACACTGCAAGTTATTGTGGGAGTGCTCCTGATATTCCTTGGTATGTAGCACCAGCAAGAACCATTGACATGTATTTTTCTTATAGGATGCAGCCTATTAAGTGATATATAAAATGGTATATAGATTCCCGATTTATTTTTAAAAAGCTGTGATATTTGACAGTCTTTACTTCAGAATTGATGAAAGTTTTATCTTAAGACCATAGAAGTATTGCAACAAAAGAAGCAAGGGCAGCTTTATGTGGAATCTTCAATTTTGATCAACTTCCTTATACTCATTTGCCCAGAGTAGGAATATTTTTTTCAGAAGGCCTGAGGAGGAAGGAAAATGATGAAATACTGTAAAAGAAACATTAATAGCCCAGATAGGATCATGCAGCCTGCCCAGTTTCATAATACTGTTTCTGGCAAGACTTGTTACTTAACCTCATGACTGAAATGTATTTGTTCCATATCAGCCATATGATAAGCAATCTTAAAACAATATATTGTGAACATAGAACTCCGAAACAAAGTGAAAGTTGAAGTCCATCTTCGTGTTTGTGTGGCATATTGTCTTCAGTTTGTTTGTGTTTCTGCAATCGAAACAAAGGTTTGATAGCAAAGGCTTGACAATAATGAAAAAAAACCTTGATTTTAAATTTAGAAAATTATTCAAAGCATTCTAAACCTCTAGGTGGGGAACGGTAGAAATGTACTTGTTAATTTTCAAACCTGCGTTATACTGAAATTAAAGTTAAAAACAAAAATAGGCTACTTGGAGCAAGATTTCACCATAAGAACATATCAGTTATCCACACACTATGGATTCAGTCAAAAAATTTGAAACTACACATAATATGAGAATGCAGTCCAAGTAGCATCCTGGGTCTGCAAATAAATTGTCTTGAATTCTGCTTATCGCTAGGGAAAACTTTTCTACTTTATGCCAAAGAAATGTGATGCAATACCTTTAACGTATGTTAGAAATAATTCCAAGAGAGTGGTAGGAGTTGTGTTAGTGCATGTTTTGAACACATTTAATGAGGCAGCTGTAGAATTAGTTCCTTCCTCCCTGCCTTCCCCCGCACTCCCCTTTCTGTCTTATTTGTTGAATTACAAACCTTCGTATTCCTAGAAGTTCAGTGCAGCGTCTTTGTGGTTCTCAAAAACAGAGGTTCCACTATTCAGTATTAATGGGTGCAATGCTGTGAGGCTCAAGAACCAGGACTTATCACTAGAAATGAGGTATTTTAAGTTAGTATTGCTAGATTAGTAGCACACGTATGCCCTACACCCTCTGCCTTATCCTGGAAGGCAGAATATTGATCTAAGCAGCCATAGAACCAGGTTCATCTCTAAAACAATTTCATCACTAAGTGAGCATCAATAACCCAAAAAATCCAAACTAAAACTCCACAGAGAGTGGAGTTTTTCTGGTTTGACCCTTCAGTACTTCTCTTGGCTATCTGACCCCACTGTGATATCTTCCCCCATGCTTTTCCAAGGCAAAATGCAAAACGAATCCAGTGGCCCTTTGCACAGTTACAGAAAACCTGTGGCATTCATTAGCAGCACCCAACACCCTAGACCATAACTTTGACGAGTCGATCAAAGATACCTGTGGAAATCAGAGATGTTTAGCTTTCAGCAGCAGTTGAACCCCATTATTCCCTGAAATAAATGAAGCCTTCACAGGTGGGAAACAGCTAGGGATCACTCCTTTTGCTAGTGATATCTGATCATTTATTCTCATAACATTTTTCAAATCTTTCCCTTTAAATTAATGGGTACTATATGACAGATCTTAAGTCTGCTGTAAACGAAAAGCCTTGAAGGTGACAGCCAGAGTTCACACATGGCATTTACTCAGTGTATAGGTGCCACCTTTGGCATCTCTCCGTCTTTCAAAGTTCCGGTTTTTACCACAACTGAAAAAACAACTTTCTGTTCAAGGAGGAAGTTCCTAGGGAACCAGGATACGTAAGGCTTGCAATATTGATATGCAGCTGACATAGCTTTTTTCTTTCTTACAAAAGACACAGAATACAGCTGTCTCTGCATGTGGTAGAGTTGGGACAAGAGCAAGATCCAGGTCCTGGCTCAGAGGAGATTCCAGAAGGGGACTGGACAAAACAACCTGATGATACTGGGGGATGGGGGAAGAGAGTCATGGAATAAATCAGCAAAGCACTTATATGTTTCTTAGTTGAAGGCATCGTCCTGGTGTTTGGTTCAGTTAAGCAGGCTTTGAGGCTGTAAACAAGTTCCCTGTTTTTTGTTGGGCAATAATTTCTCAGTATATGCTGAGACATTGCTTTTTGATGCTTGTTTCTGCCAGACAAAGTGGCTTCCATTTTTATCTTTGTCACACTGAGAGGAAAGAGAGTACCCCGCAGCCCCAGCTCCAAAGTTGGGATGAGGTGGAGTTCACAGACCACTTAGCAGATAGTGAGGTTCCTCAGGAGTTCAGGCTGTGCTCTGCAGTCACCCAGGGCTGGGCTGGCGTACCGAGGGTGACAAAGCCCTGGGCTCACAGGGCGATGCTGTTGGAGCAATGCTGTCGTGCTGAGCTCCAAAGTACTGAAGATAGGAAATAGGATGTGAAGGTACAAAGACAGCAAGAATAGCAAGAACTATCAAGAATAACATCATGGCAAGATCTTGCTTTTCACCTTGTGTATTTATTTGGTAGTTTTGGCCTGCAGGAACAGTTTGCCTTTCGGTCCAGTCACAAAATTCTGCTTCTTAGAAGCTCCCACCAGTCCAAATGAAAGTCTGTGCAACCATCCAGTTTCTTTCCTCGAGATAGAGATTTATCCCAGGAGCGACCAGTTTCTTACAGTTCTCTACTAGGATGCTTTTTGTCCTTCAAAAGAGCCTTTCACAACAGCTTTTTGAAAAATATTCAGCAGACTTGTCCTTGAAAGTGATTTGGTAGTCGTAACTTTTTGGAAGAAAAGCAAAGAATGTCTTGAAATAGTTTAAGTGGCATGAAATCATAGTAATCTAATGCCACTATAATAAAATACTTAACGAATAACTGTTCTTAAGAGCATTTTCACGAACACCCTCATCTTAAGTACTATAATCACAAAGATAGGATTACTGCAATTCTACTGCAAAATTTAGAGCACCGCCTCAACTGACAAGCAAAACTTTTCTTCTCTGACCCTTGTTTGGACAAAGGAACAACTTTGAAAGTGTTAATTCTCCTTTGAGCAGGATTTAACTCACAAAACACATTAGGCCATTTTCATGTTTAGACCAACCATCTGAAATGCCTTTTTTCCATACTTCAGGATTAATCATTGCATTTCATGTATTCCACTTAATTCACAGGACAGTACTAGAGTCCTTCCAGGTATTTGTTGGGATGCAAGCATCCATGTAGCTCCAGATGCTTTACAGACATGTATAAACTCATTTTCAGGGTTAAGTACTGCTGAGCTTAAATTATTTCATGCCTACACAGGTGTGCAGTAGCTTAGGCTTCTCAGCTAGTTCCCCCACACTGTTCTTCAGTGCTTTGGCTGGCCTGTGATGTTTGACTATACTGCTTTAGCAGACAGGACTTGAACAGCTGCCCAGAATTCCTTGAAACCAAAACAGCATTAGACTTCCTAATTAGGGGCACTGAGTGAACCTGGCTTTTAATACTTGGGCATCACGAGTGTGTTTGCCACCACTTCTACTTAACTGCTTCAACAAGCGAGTCTTGGTTCTGCAGTTCAGTTCTGCAGTTGACGGGGTCATTATGTTTAAAGCAAATAAGAAAGTTTATTTCATGCAGTAGAATCATAACCTACGCACCTAGGTATGTGCCTCTCAGGAGCTCAAAATTTTATTTATCTTGCTGTAAAAACTTGTCAGGTATGAACTTTCTCTCACATGTCCTGTACATGCACACACAAACTCCAGTCACCTAAGCATTTAAGAACTAGGACTCTAAATAGATAAAAAACCTTCTCAAAACATGCTTCAGAACTCATCCGCACAGCATCAAATAAATTTAGCGAGGGTCTGAGTTGCAAAGCCCTTACTGCTGGAGAAGGGGGACAGCAGGAAATCTTGGTTTTCTGTATGATGCCTGGGAAGCGCTCCCAGACTTCTTACTGTCCTGTACAAGTACATGCTTTACTCTATCAAGTCCATTATCAGTCCAATGTAACTCATTTATATGTTTTCACAAGGCCTGGAATCAAAGCTTAAACTAAATTAATGCTATCTCCCTTGTGTGTTCCTCCCTCACTCCCATTTGCAGTTCAACCAAAGAACTGCAAGGAACAAAAGGAAATGTTTACACAGCTGATGCTCTCTGCAAAAAGGACTGCAGCTATGCTGCTTTGAAATCTTCCTCTGTTTAACAGATATAATACTCTTGCTTTCTAAAAACAGAATCAGTGCAAAAGCAGGGAGTACAGCTGGGGAAGGGCACCGGTATAAAAAAAATCCAGCACTGGTGGTCTGTGGAGAAACAGTAGCATTTTAACTGTAGGAAACTTCATTCCGTCCTGTGAGGGCTTTGAGCTCAATGTATTCAAGACCAAAATATTTTTTAAATGCTTGAAGTCTGCAATAAGACTAGCTTTCAAAAGATCAAGAACTCAGAAAATGTCTAGTAATGTTTGTGTATCCATTACTTCCCATGTGCCTCCACAGAGATTAGATGCTAATTACTGGAAGCTAATAGACTTCTTGTGCTTAAAGATCTTCCCCTTGGCACTTTTACCGACACTGCAGAATCTTACTTTCCTTTTAAGTATGACTGGTGCAGATAGCTCAGTGTTAGAGAAATTTTTGACCTACATGACTAGTTCATGACTTTTATTCTGGATTTTGAAATATACATGTAATTAAAACTATTTTTTTTTCCTTTTCTCTCTGAAGTAAAATATGACCTTAACAACCCTGCAAAACATGGAAAGCTGGATTTCCTCAACAACCTTGCCACTGGACTAGTATTCATAATAGTAGTTGTGAATATTTTTATCACTGCCTTTGGAGTGCAGAAGCCAGTTGCTGAGTCAGCACCAAGGCACTGAGTACAAGGTGAGTGTGGTCTCGCTGCGCCGTAAGGCAGTAGGGCATAGCCTACAAGAATCCAGTGCACACCAGGGAATAACTTTAAAAATAGCCATGAGCTTATCTGTACAGTTCTAGCCTTCACAGATAAATGATTTTACTTGAGACTACTGCAAAAGCAGCAGCTCCTAGGAACTCGGAAGTTATTACAGTGTATTTTTAAATGTAGAGTTCAAAAGCTGATGGCAGCGTCTTACTTTGTCAGGGGGCCCTTGCGTGTGTCACACATAATGACTGTCTCTCTGGCTTAGCCACTCCTTTTCCTCATTGCTGACTAAGCCAAGAAAGGAAATAATATTATTTTGCTTCCTTCAAATGCCTCTTCTTTTTTTAAGAAAGGTTTGCAATATACTGCATTCAGTCTGTCATGAACAATGAAGACTTAATCTTTATCCAAATAACTAGGGCTATTAAGTCCAACATATAATACTACACATCATTGGAGCCCTTCAGTTGCTACACGGATAGTGCGGCTTTTCTGTCCTCCCAAGCTGCAGGGCTTTTGCTTTTTGGGAGACTTGGCCCGTAAAGATCTGCACTATCACCGTACTTGATACATGCTGTCATTTAGAACAATATTGTTTTCTCTTCCTGCTTTTTAAAGTTTGTTATTTACTTATACAGAAGGATAAATATAGGAATTGTGAGAATCAAAATGGTTATCTTCCTAGTGTCATAGCCATGATGAACAATTTGGGAGGAGATACACCGAAATTGTAGGCTTGTATTCCAAGAAGCACTATGTGAGGCACCAACATCTGCCTTTAAAATAGCACTGCTAGGTCTGTGTGTGCCAACATTCCTCTGGCTCTTTATCTTCCAAATCTCAAATCCCACTCAGAAGACCTGCTGAAGAAGAAATTCCTTGACTTTCCTCACAAGCCACGGTACACTGGCTTCGATGCAGACAGCCCATATGTGTAACATTATCGGTTTGAGTTAACTTCTAGATGATGAAGCCTTTCTCCATGAAAAAGAAGATACAAGACATTCAAACCATTAATTGGAAGATGAATGGCACAGCAGAAATCTGTAACAAGAATGGAAACCAGACAAAATTCTATCAGGACTCTAAACAGTGTGGGGGGGAAATCAGTGCAACAAATTACTAGGAGGATTAAGAATTAAATGCATTTATTTCAGGGTGCAGGCAGAATCATCTACTTTAACTAAAACCTGTGAAATTCTGACAGTGAAACAAGATAGTTTTACCGTATTTTCAATATATTCAATATATTTCAAAATATAGTAAAACTATCTTGTTTCACTGTATTTTTCTGGCCATAGGTTCTACAAATAATCTGATAAATATTTTAGCAGCCAAGAGCACATAGATTATCTGAGATACTATCAGAATTATAGGTAGAACAGTACACTTTTAAAACAATACTGAAACACTAACCACAAAATTGCACTGGCAAAGCTGAGAGAACTGAATGAAGGGTTACTGGAATTCTAGCTATCTTCACAGGAAAAAACATGCACAATAGCCAGGAACAGAGACCGAGACAAGAATCTGAAATAGGCATCAAGAAATTCCAATAATGGACAAGGTGGCATACCAGAATCCCAGCCACACCTCTTTTTGATACAGTGAAAGAAAAACTGAAGAGGGGAGAGAGGAGAAGCAGTTTTTGCTTATCACACCGACGTACGCTGAATAGAGAGGAAAAGGAGTTGACAATCCAGTCCCAAGCCAGTTAGTGCCTTTATACAGTGGTAGTTTGAGAAGCCAGTTAATATCTGGAAGGTATGTATCACACCCCTTGCCTTACCAAGACAAACGTTTCATCTGCTATTTCTCTCCTAGCCCCATGTTCTCTCTCTCTGATTCTCCTCAGTACCTGTGCCAGCTCTCAGATCTCTGGCTGGCTATTAGGAGCTGCTGCTTCTGCAGTGTTTCCCAAACACCACTGCTGTATTTTTCCACAGCAGAACTGAATACTGAAGAGCTTTGAAGAACCCTGCAGCTGCTACAGAGTTTGCGGGGCAGCTGGTTTTTGTGTTAGGAGCCAGCTCAGTTCTGGGCAGGCTGGCTTCTGAACGTTGCTCTGCATTAGCTCTTTAAACACATTAAGTGCATTCTCCTGCAGATTTCTCCCACCTGTGAGTGGACATTGTCTCCCTTCCCTTTCCTTCACACACATACGTGGCTAAGCCTTATGGAAGCATCAGTGGTTTTGTGCAACATCTTAGTGCTTAGCTGGCGTCTTCTGGCAAGAAGGGGCTCTTCACAGCATTTGTGTTGGAGTTTCTCCTCTGCTATTCCTTCTGCTCTCCATAAACTGTCAAGGAAAGGGTTTTGTGGCTTAATGATGACTAGGGATTGTGGAATCCCCAGTGAGAAAGCCAGGCGTTTGATGAGAAAACAGTTCACATGTACCTTGTCTGAGATCATCATGAGAGTGTGAAACACCGTTCTGCCAGGTGGACGGCAATAGCTCGTTTCAGGTGTGGATCACACCTCACGTGTGGCTATGCACAGCCAGAGTATTTGATCACATTCATCAACATCACTGCTATCTACTGCTGAAATTGGTTTGATAAACTTGCAGTGCCTCCATAAAGGAGAAACAGCAGCTGTTTGATGTAACCTCAGGTAGAGGCAAGACTAAAGGATGTTTAAAGCAAGTTTACATCTGGACAAAACCAGCAGCTGTGTGATCCTGCCTTTGTGCTTCTCACACATGCAGTTTGCTAATAAAATGGTGTGATGGGTTTGCCCTTGGCTGG